AGCTAGACAGGTTCCTTCTTGTCAATTTGTCTATAACCACTCAAGCGTCACTTTATTTATTCCCTTTCTTTTCTTTGGATTTTCAATCTTCTTTAGTTTGAGTTAAAAGCTAAGATTTTAATTTTTTAGATACGCATGTTTATGCCTCAATTAAAGTCCATTTTTGATAGTTCCCTTTTTCCCAACAGCATTCATAATAAAAGGGATCTTGATATCCCAGTTCTTTTTGATGAGGATCACATTGTTGGACATGTCTTAATGTAAGTTTTTGGACTTGGTGTGTATTGTTGTTTTTAAGTAATTGGAATGGCAGGAACCACAGGAGTAACACTTGTGCTAGAAATAACTCTACATGAACACAGATAGCTCAAGTAAAATGAAAAGTGACATTGCAATCCAGGGATTCAAAATAATGCACTCATTTTCTATAAACTAGCTTCTAAAAAGTCAATAATACTTATCCTGCAAGTTTTCTGATGGGTCATCCAATGCCAAATGGACTAGGGGTCTCACATGCACCACCTCAGATTTGCATGAAAATTTATGTCAATGTTCATATATGTAAGATAGGAGCATCCTGAAAATTTCAGCTTGATATCTTATACCATCCCAAAGATATGGTTCTACAAAGTCTCCAGCTTTGGCTCTAATGCGGAATTCTGGGAGATGGAAACAAACTTTTTGCAAACTTTGAGGTTCTATATTTCCTGACTAGATTTTGATAGCCTCTTCAAAATTGATACCCTTGAGCTTTTTTTAGAGCGGTATCAGAAAATAATTACCAAAAAAAATCATTCTTCAATAGTTGGCCCATAATGGCAGCCTAAAATTGCTACAAATTTACTTCCGGAAGAAAAAATTCAAATTTTGAAAGGCCAGGGCTTAAATTCAGACTATCTAGATGTAGCAAAGCTTATTTAATGTTGATCTTTGTAAAGTGAACTATAATTTTTGAGGAAATCAGAAGGTAGAAATTATTATTTGAGAAACTATGAGGCCTTTAATCTAGTTCCAGGCCAAAATTTGCAAAAATTTGGTCCTGTTTGAGCCCCCAGAAAACTAGGATGGAATTTGCTGTGATGATTGAAATTTTTTCCACACATGATGATAACTTTAATTCAATAGAATCAACAATAAAAATGGGGTTTTATTGGGAAGTTGGAATTTTAGGTAATTGAAGAAGTGCTGAAATCGGAAAAAAATTGTAATTGAAAAGTACCACAAGTTCTTGTCAGTGGTGCAGAACCACATCAAAATCCAAGTATGTCAGTGTAAAGAGATCATGATATAATGAGGATGTCCATTTGAGAAATAAACCTCTCAAAATTGATTATTTGTCTCCTACAAGGACAGCAGTGTGCTATGTTTGCATCATGCTGCAAGTGGCCTACAGTTGACAAATAATCAAATCAGAACATTTAAATAGGAGAAGTTCTGCTTGACTACAACGAAGCCCCGCCACGCATCAGCTTCAAGTGGGTTCATTGAAAGTTGTCATCTTTCACTAGTTTTCGAATGTCAGGTCCACGATGTCAGGTCTTGTTTTCGGATCTCTGACATCCACCATTGGAAATTAACCTGACAGTTTTCAAACATAAATAATATATATTATTAAGATGTTGTGGAAATATTTGTCATTCGTTTTAAATGAGAAAGGATTAAAATGTCTTTAAATTTCTTTACGTAGAAAGTTTCTCAAGATTTGAAGGTATCCCAATCCCATTTGAACATGGAATCTATCCTTTGCATAAATTTCTGATTTCTTTTTTAAACCGAAAAAAATCTTCATTGTCGCATGGAATATTTTAAACATTGTTTAATGATTAATTTCATCATCACAGGGATATTCTTGACTATGATCTGTCCATTGCTCAAGATAAATATATGTGGGATGAAGTCTTAATGAACAACAAAGGCTCAAAGGACATTGTTTTAGGGTATTTCAGAGGAATTGGAAATAAAGGTAAGTTGATAATTATGCATTGCAATTGATGTTCATGTATTTGACAAAGGGAAGTTGTATTTTTGTGTCACAAAGTAAATGGAATAAAATTTTTGTATATTAGATAAGGAAGCCAAAAGGCAGCTCGATAAGGGAATAAACAATCTGGGTTTTAAATCATGTACGTAATTAAGGAATGAACGTTAGCAGCAGTAGCATAGCGAGGGAAGGGCAAGGGGCTGCCCCCCCCCCAATGCTCGGAAGGTTGGTGTCTGAAAAAATGCAAATCTGCAATAAAAAAAGTACCTCAGGGGGGGGGGGGAGGAGTGATGTTTCAAACAGAAGTAAAACGTTTTAAACCATTGCAAAAAGACGATTGCAAGAATATTCTAAAATGCATTTTAATCTAATCTAAAGAGCGTGGTTGCAAACATTCTCTGCTTGCTCAGCTCCTGTAGGACGTCTCTTTGCCCCTCCAATCTTCCAACCCTTGCCACGCCACTGGTCAACAGGGATATAATTTCTAGATCTTCTCCTCGACAGTACCAACCAGGAAATTTTCAACGCGTCTTATTAATTTGGCAACAAAGCTTATTCATCACACAATTGTCTAATAAAAATAATTAATTGTTTGCCTTTGCAATCAACGAGAGGCCTTCCGTTAGCTGATTTCCCGAAGTTTATTTTGGCATCACGTTTGTTTCTTTGCAGATCACAGAATGTTCTTAGAAGCAGCGTTTGTCTACGGAAAAGAATATCAATTTGTGGTTACAACAGAAAAATCAATGCCTGGCTTAAAGGGGTAGGTGATTCCATATTCAGTGTTGTTTATGAGAGTATCTATAGATATAATAGGGTCCCTGGGTGTTGGAAAGCACAGAATTACGATTCTTGAAGGGTGATGGGGTTGTTGAATGTTTTTTATTTCTTTACAGTGACGGCTCTTTGTGGTATTATCAATGCAAAGATGCAGCTGCCGATGCCGAGTGCAACTTCAGGGTACGCAAGATGGCACCGAAGAATGTTCTTGATGTTATTGGGTTTATCAAGCTTGAAGGCATCTCAAGGATTGTAAGTTGGAGTTTAAAAATAGTTTAACTTGAACATTTAACTTCAACATTATTGTTAGTAGATTAAGAATAGCCGCTTGTATGTGGACTTAATTCTCTCTTCAGTGTACTCGGAGACCTATACGGCACTCTCAGATCTCTTTATCATACTTAGTCAAATCTGTTAGGTTGATTTATAAAGAAGTTTATTGTATTAGCAGCTAAGCGATAGCTAGTCAATAAGAACGGTGTTAGTATATTTTAATTCATATATGCTATGACATACAGAGCTAGGATATTGCTAAATATTGCATCGAGAGGCAGTGACGAAGGTGTTTTTAGTATCGAGATGAGTAACTTTTTTTCATTTTCAGGTCCAAATTGAACAAGATGGATCAAGCATCTACGACAAATTGGATTTGACGTTTCCTCTTAACAAAGTGTTTTTGTTTTCAAACGATATAAAGAAGATGACTAAGATGGCAGCGGAGGCGCTCAAAAAAATCGACGATAGCTTTTACTTCATTCTCGTTGATGTGTGAGTATGGCGTAATCAATCACCTATCAATTTTATAATTTCAATACCATCATATTATGCACTTATAACAGCAATATCTAAACAGTATTTTTGTACCAACAAAGCGACTGAGCTAAAAGTTTTCTTCAAATTCATAGAAAGCTTCATATGTAACTTTTTTCAAATAATTTTTGTTCCTGTTCTTAAATATCTGTTGTAACTGGAACTGACTTCAATTTTTAGGAAAATTCACGTCGACTTGTTACCAGAATTTGGTATTGATCTGGCAACAGATTGGGACATTGTTCCTGGTACCCTTGTGCTACAACCCGCACATCTTGTTGGCTCAGGGCAGGTATAGCAACTATGTTCTGTTCAGGCCGTATAGTTCTGGGCTATGGTGATTGCCAGGCCTTGAAAAAAGATTTTTCATCCTGGCAGCAAGATGAAAAATTCAAGATTTCCTGCGAAGCTTTGCCAAAATTTCCAGAAAGCGATATTTTAAGTTGCTTGATTTGTTTAAACATTTGTCCTAAAAATAAACTGTCATGATAAAAAAGTTTGCCAGAAAGCTCATTTCCACTGAAAGCTCTGCTTTTTAAAGATTAAAACGGGAAACTGACTGACAGGATAAACTTTAAACATGCGCTAAAAAATCTAGTCTAGTCAATGCAATACCATACAAGGTATTGAAGTCATCGATGGCCACTTGAAAATTAAAAATATTGTCAGAGAAAAACTGAAAATCTTATGAAATCAAATTATATATATCTAAAAACTGTTTCGAAAATTCCCCTGATTTGAATAAGTCTATATCCAGAGTGATTTTTCCAAACTCGCCAGATGGACCTGTCAAGTTGTCAAAAACGCCAGTTATCATCGAAGCTAGTAATTCATACAAGTTGTAAGAATACTATTTTACTTTTCAATAGTCAAAATTAATCTTTTAAAGCAGGGGTGGTGCTTAAGACAAAGATGTAAGACCAAAGCGCTTACATTCTATAAGGCAAGCGATGAAAAATGTATGCAAATGCCAGTAGAAAAGCATGAATAATAATAGACACATCGACACAGTTTTTGGGGGATGCTCACCTTCAATACAATTGACGTAACAAGATTGGCTTTCTTTAAGTGTTTTTACTTATCTAGAATGGCCAATGTAAAAAGAGAAATGAACTTTGTTTTTTGCTTCCTTGAATCAAATTAGTAGCTGAAAACCATGCCCGGAAATTTGGTTTAAGATGATCAAGGAGAACTTGATAGAGCACAATACAGTTTGTTTTCAAGGTTAAAGATAGTAGATCTGAAAATCTGGAAAAATTTTGATTTAATTTTATATCTGTACTAGCAAGCTAAATACTAAGTATTGATGTTTACTTTCAATACAATTGACGTAACAAGGTTGGCTGTCTTCAAGTATTTTTCATATCTAAAAGGGCTTCAAGTGCTTTGTTTTAGTTTGAATCAAAATAGTAGCTGAAAATCATGCCCGAATTGCCGGAAATTTGGTATATCAGCCGCTGATAATACCACATGATTGTATTTTGAAAGCTAATCTTCGTTTTTTGTTTAGTAGTGCAGAACAAAAACTATACAGTATGTATGTCCATCACAAAAAATAGCGTTCCGTAGAAAGAGAATAACATAAATTTAATGTTCATATTAAAATCAAGCAATTGAGATTTCAGGCTAAAAATTTTCTGGCAAACAGCAACAATTCCCTGCAATGAATTTGTGCTAAAAATTCCCTGACGCGCTGCTGCCGGCGCTGCCGCACGTTCTCCAGGCCTGGTGATTGCGTGAACTCTTCCCGGGGCCTCGAGAGGGGGGATGGAGAGAGGCTTTTTCCAGTCCCTACTTAAGTCAAATTAATCTTTCTGAGATAAGATTTAAACTTTATTTCTGAGAATAAATTATGGAGACTTGGGCACCCAGGGTAGTGGGGTCTAAGACGTAATTAAAGATTAAAAATCTGCGATATCATTTTGAGAAACTTTTGCTTTTTTTATGACATTTGATACAGCCATTGTTAAGAAACGTCATTTGACACAAAAATGTGTCCCAAGTTGCTTTGTCGAATAAAGTATCTTTTTTGTTTAGAAATACTACGAGCAGTGGCCCCAACATATGGAATTCACATTGAAAACTATGATAGATGTCCTGAGCCAATATCATAAGAGCCCAAACAAAGCATACAGAGAAGTCGGTAAGAATATATTCTACTGTATGAAAATGGAGAAAACGAAGAATATTTTCATGCAAAAGATGTTTTTGAGATTCTTGTGTTGACAGAACGTTATAGTTTGAATGGGTTAAGTGACAGTTTAAACAACAGAAATGCAGCTCCTCCGTTATCCGTTTGACCACTTTGATATCCCCTAATCATTTGTTAGCCTATATCTCGTACCAAAATGTCTTTTAAAAATTTTCTTCCTTTTCTTCTTCACAAGATATTGATGGGTAGTTTGCCAAAAGCGTTAAAAATAAGATCCCATGTTTCTTTGTCGCTAGCACCTGCTACTGCTTCTGACGAAACGTTTATAGATTTGAAAAGTCCAAAATTAGGCACAAGTTGCCATCATAACCATCATTATGCGAGACTCGTGCTAGACGTGTTCCTAGGTCCCGTATCTGGCTGAAAAAGTGTTACTTTGCTTACCGTTCAAAGGGCACAGCTTTTTGCTAATTTTATATATCATTTTGCTTAACTTTGATGTTTTATGACCTACCTTTCCATTTTCTGTTTAATTTAAATCTGCTTTTATTTTCCCAGTAAAATTTAATTTTCCTGTAGTAGATTGTCACTTGAAGCATAATCTTGCATTCACTTTTATTTCTGTGGTTGTTAACCTTCCTGTGTCCTTTTCCGTCTAAATGTAAAACCATAGGTGAGATTTCCGCAAATTTGTCGTTGCAGTCACAGCAGTTGACATTCACTACACTACAATAGACGATTGGAAAAAGCCTACTAAAGGAATAGTTGTAGTTGGAGGGTGCATGAAGGGTAAGTAACAAGTAACTGGCATTTTTGACAACTTGACAGGTCCATCTCGTGAGTTTGGAAAAATGACTCTGGATATAAACTTATTCAAATCAGGGGAATTTTCACAACGGCTTTTAGATATAGAGAATTTTATTTCATAAGATTTTTAATTTTTTTTGACAATATTTTTCATATTCAAGTGGCTATCGATGACTTGGTATTGCATTGACTAGACCAAGGATATTTTAGCGTATGTTAAAAGTTTGTCCTGCCAGTCAGTTTCACATTTTAATCTTTAAAAGGCAGACCTTTAATTGAAAATGAGCTTTCTGGCAAAGTTGTAATCGAGGGAAGGGAGCTTATGCAAACATGTGTATGCTTATCGGCTTGGGCGTAGGTATTAAACGGCATCATGTCCCGTTGGACAATCATTATCTTCCATGTTAACAATAGACTTCCAGCACGTTTACTATCCTTAAATAGCTTCGAATTAGTCCTGTGTTGGGATCGGAAAATTTAACCATAGCCTATACTTTAATCCAACCGATAGAAATTTAGGTGACCACCAACTTCGTCGGGACCTTTAAGTACCTATCTTCTCCTTTTTTAGTATCTAGTTATATTTGGTTAAACACCAGGCTTTTTGGTTTTGTTTAAAACCATGTAAGAATCCATGACCTTAGATGTAATTTTTGACCCCTGTTAAGTTTCTTTTTAAATGGTATCGCAATTAATAAAAACATGTTATTATCGTGTTTTATATACGATCAAATTTTTAGACAGAAACAATTAAGTTTAATTACCACGATAACTTTCAAGTTTGGACCAGCTTTCAAGCCTACTTTAAAAATTCAGAGCTGCTTCACGCATAAGTCAATTTGCGTTGTTTTTATGAACATATGCACCCATACAGTTTATTCTACTGAGTATTTTAGATCAACAAAAGTTGTTGTTTCGTTTTCAGACGCTCAAGGATGCTATGAATTCCAAATAACCTTTCGCCGCGTGGCACGCAGTGTCTATGACACACAGCTAGAGCTAGTCGTTGAATTTTTCTATGTGGACTTTACAGACCATCCAGAAGATGCCAAATTGAATGTATGTCTTTAGACGTTTGTTCATCTTGCCAGATGTCTCAAATCCGATTAATAATGCTAACCCTGGCAGTTATTTTAAATGCAATACCGAAGGACCCTTCTGAAGCCACACTTCAAATAAAAATAGAAGCTAATAACTATCATGCTGGTTTTTATATTGCTTGCAAATTGTTTTCTGTTAATTTCGATACAATAAAGCATTTATAACCCCAAAGCCAACCTAACCTTGATTTTGATAATAAATATTCCGGATCAGTTGAGTTTCTTCTTATCAGAACAAGAAATGGCCTGTTATGCTGCTTTACGTGAGTTCGTCATCGTTGAAATGTTACATAGAAATAATCAGCTTCTATGACATACAACCTCATGATTACGCCGAGGAATTACTTCCATAAGAAGACATTTCGCATTATTTTGCACTAGAGGTTTTTGTTACATTTTTTAAGTTAGAAGCTGGAAAAGAATAAAACTTTAATTTTTTGTAGGGGCTTCCTGGATTTGAGATTTACAAGGATGGGAAAGAGATCAAGCACATCGGACAAATGGACTACGAATCTTTACTTCAATTTTTGTGGAAAAATCTAAGGTAACGGATTTTTTGAACTAAGACAAGTTCTTAAGGAACCCTGTCACTACCCTATAGTTAGGGGGATCATCGATAAAAGAAGTTTTGAAGGACACTGGCTGCTTGACACCGACTGCTAAACTCCACCGATGCACGTACATATGAAGAATTGTGTTAAGGCGTATTGGTGCAAATAATATCAGAAAGCTGTGTTTAAGCTGACGACTTTGACAATCTTTTATGAGAGCCCAAAATCTTCACACTGCCCCAATACACTTAAATATTGCCGCCCAAATTGGCCTAGGACCACTCAACGAAGGTTTCTCATTTTGGTTTCATGCATTTCTTTACTCAATAAAGGCAAAACCTGGTTTCTCTTACGAAGAATAAATACTAAAAGCAGCGAGTGGTACAAAAAGCGAGTATAACTAAACAACAAAGTCAGGTACCACGGAGCAGGGGGAGCTAGGGGGGGCTTTAGCGCTTTGCAAAAAATGCCAAATATTAAGTATCAAACTACCAGAAAAGCCTCTTTTTATACGGTTCTAGCCCCCCCCCCCCACTTTTTCTAGACCCCCCACTTTTCTCAACGCTCCGCGGTGCCTGAAAGTGATACAGTTTCCGTAGCAGAATGCTTCGCGAAGAGTATTTCTGTCTAGCTGCAACCTTAAAATGCCAGCATATATAACATGCTAGACATCTTCTTCGTACGAAAACCATTGGACCCCTATGTTTTAAGATGATATGTCATTGTGAAAAGAATCAAGACTATTTGAAGGGAGCAAATCGAAATGTTGGAAGTAAGAAGTTGCAAATTGAAACTTATGTTTCAAGATATAATGCAATGATTGTACGACGAATATATACATTATAAAGGTTCTTTGAATTATTTTCTGTCACTTTTAGCCCGCGTGTAAGGCGCCTGCCCTTGAGTGGCTCTGATCACATACCGCTACATCCAGAAGAAGAACCAGAAGAAGAAAACAAAGGCGAAGATGATAGTGTGGATGATGATGACGACTCAACATCACGTACGATTATTGTTTTGTTGTTCTATGCCTTTTATTTTAGGCCTAGAGCGGAGCAATAGCACCTTGATTTTCAATTCGATTTTTCATGTTGACTTGTGATTCATAATAGGTATTGGGGATAGTCAATTTATAGAACCTTTGACAGCACCAGAATCCATGGGATAGGGGGCAAGTGGGATGATAAAGATTACTTATGGATTGGCATTTTTATCAGTAATGAACCTTGTATACCATAAATTTACCATCGTAAATAAAAAATTGTATCCCATTACCAGGATAAGCCAAAGTCTTGATATAATGGTCTAGATAACCTAAAGGCAAAATTAGACAGTGAAAGGTCATGGCGAAAATCCTCAGCAGCTTCTTTCATTGCAACGGCCTTCGAAGCACTTGTATGAAGATTGTAAGTCATAAGTATTGAGAGTTGAATATATAAATAGTTTTATTGTCGAAAAACCTATTGAGTATGTTACACCCAGTGCTTTAACTTTGGCACCATTGCCCTAATAAATCAATTGATGTTTTCAGTTCTATCAATGGAGGATGATAGTATGGGAAAACTTGCAGTGGATATTATCAAGCGCAAAGTCAATGATGAGAACGTCACCGCCTTAAAAGATAAAACATTTTATCCTTCGAAAGACGCAAATGATCTCATGGTTACACTGTTCTATCTGCCTTGTGAGCATTTTATTGATTGCTAAAATTAATTCACCTTGTCCGTAATGCATTTAACGTTGTGAAGCACCCAAACGTGTCTTGGATGTTTCCAGTTTTCAATTACAATCATGAGGCTCAGCCTGGCAGTGCTATTATTGCTTGTAAAAAGAGTATACCATTGCTAAACACAACGGAATTGCTCGAACAAGAAGTAATCTTTAGTTATCACTTAAAAGCAGAAATGAAATATCGCCGTTTATAAAATGAAGAACGATATACGTTTTTAACAGCAATAGCCTAACAGTAATTCTTATTTGCTTCAAATTTCATCACCTAAAAATTATTTGTGACAATTTGGAGGTTGAAGATTCAATGTCTTTATGAGCGGTAGGTTGTTAAATCATCTGAAATATCTAAAATTCTGCTTCACTAGTGAACCCCTGGAATGATGCAAAAGCTGGTATAGGTATACTAAAGGCAACATTTTGCCTTACCGCCGAATGCCGTTCCCTTCTCATTATTCTTGCTATAGCCCTGCTAATTTCAATGCTTTGAATTCAACGATTATTTGGTAGTTTTTTAAAAAATGAATCTTTTTATTCGTTTTCAGGGTGTGTTAAGAGTATAATCCTGCGTGAAGCGTACGCTAAGGTTGTTGCCAAGATTGAAGCAACGCAATCCGATAGTGACATGAAGACTGTTGTGAACAAAATGAACTGCTTTGACTGGGAGGATGTTTGCCGTAAAGAAAACATCACTATGTATCCTACGATCAAAATATACAGGTAGCTCGTATGTCTTATCCTCAGTTTTGCTGTAACAACACAAGATTTGATGTCGGCTCAAACTAATCCCTCCATTAGAACGAGGCTTAATCAGAAAAGAGGCTACATAGAACGATTATTAACATTCTCAATTTTTGTTTTTGTCTTTATTTTGTAATTTTGTCTCAACTAAAATAAAAAATTTTAGATCAATGAAAGGTTTTATTATCTTTTGCACCTAGAATCTCAATTTCACATTTTCATCAGAAGTTAATGATGTATCACAAAAGAATGTGATATATTTAAGTAAATTGTGCATTTCTAATCTTCCAGGAAAGGACATGAATCCTTCACATACACAGAATCATTGGATGCGGCAACATTAGAACGATCCATCAGAATGTATGTAGACATTTTTTATTTCTTCTTGCTCATCCAGGAGAAGATGCGAAAGTAACCACTTTAGATTTCATTTACAAAATTGTTGCTGCAATTATGATATGATATTAAAGGCTTGATCATCTTCTTATTTTCAAGTTTTTTGGAATACACTTCCCATGATCAGCGTATGATATTTGCATGCAAAAATGCTGAGCATATGCTGAAATGCCACACCAGCGCACTGTGTTAATGAAAAAAACAACCAAGAATGAGGAATTTCCTTATCTCTTTGCTTTAGAAATGAACACTCCTGACTCTCTCTATCCTTTTTATTCTTTGCTTTATCAGATGCAAATTTAGCAGTTGTTCTTCCATTTCTGATGCTAGAAATGTTGCGACATTGAATGTGAATCTATCCTATGTTTTGTTGCCAAGTCCCATTCTAAATTGCTTGATCTTGGATTGTTTGCAAAGGCCACTGAATACTCTATAAATCGGTGTACAAATTTTTGCTAGTTTAACGCTATTACGCTTTTTATGGGGGCATTTCTGCTGATAAAGAGTTAAATGATAGCTTTGTTTGTTTTTTCTAAACACAGGTATCAAAACCCTGTTACAAAAGAGCTTCAAGACGCCGAAAGTATCAACAAATACTTAGACTTTGAAGCACAGTCTGAAGCTCCGGTGTCGGTTCTTGGGCTTTTTAGAAAGAAAGGGGATAGTGGTAAGTCTTTTTATTAGATGGTGCCGGAATTTCTGCATTTTGAGGTACTGAATGATGCCGGAATTTCCGCATTGTGAGATACTGAATGATGCCAGAATTTCTGCATTTTGAGTTGCTGAATGTTGCCGGAATTTCCGCATTGTGAGATAACTGAATGTTGCCAGAATTTCTCCAACTCCGTGATTGGATTAGCTCAGTGAATATTTCGATATCTGATATGAATATCAGGGAACATATATCTATTAAAATATGTCCATTTGCCGATAGGGTTTTTGCTTGTTTCATAGGCTTCTGTATTGAGCTGAATCCTTTAGTCTATCTATATCCGAGGCTCTTAAAGCTTTAGGTCTCGTAATACAATGCAATGCGTGCTTCTCTTTGCTCTTAGAGTTCCAAGTCTTTTCAAATTCTGCCAAGAAACTATTTGGAAAGATTCCTTTTGCTTATGCAACCGGTGAAATTGCAGAGAAAAGGTATGTTGATTCTTGTGTCTTATTCTTTTCAGTTTCGATGCCTCTTCTCCTTGAAACAGATTTTTACTGAAGATACCCAACTGTTTCCACAGATTTTACTTAATACTGAAGAGCTGCAGCCTTCTAGCCTCCCGTTTTGAGAATCAACTGGAAACTAACTTTGTGTATACACAGCTTCAAATAGAATCTGATTGACCTTATGGGATCAATTGATTTTATTCACTAACTTAGAGATTTCTTTCAGCTTAGGCATTCAAAAAAGTGTTTTCTCAATTAGTAATACAATGGAAGATGCCCTTAAAGGCTCTCAGGCAACCAGCTATTTTTTCACGATTGTACTTGGTTTTTCATGCAGTACGAAAATATAGTTGCAACGCATGCTGATTGCGCAAGAGCCTTTAAATCCCGGCCACCTCTTCCTTTTCCTGTCATGCGTAAGCCTCAATGAAATGAAAAATCCTGTCTTGAATTCCTTTATTGTCATTGCAATTATAAGGTAAAAAAGCAGTGACTGTATTTGCGAAAGATGTGTACTTGTAGTGAAATATTAAATTGGATTGTGACTTTGTTGGTTTTAAACGTCATTCTGCTGTTCTGAGTTTCAGGAAACATTGAACCCAGTAAATTATACAAAGAGTATCCATGTCAATAACCTTCGTGATTTGAAGTAGGTTGGAAGAGCTTCTGTCTCTTGCCATAATCATGCTATAATGTTTGCAGCAGTTATGTTGTCTTTTATCTCTCTTGCATTTGTTACCCTTTCATATTCCAACAAAAACTTATGGGAGTGCAAAATTTGTTATTTTAGTGCTAATGAGCAAGGTCTTCCAGTTCCGATGTTCATTTTGGTAAAAAGGGATGACCACTTAGAGCAACTCTCATTGGCCAACTCTTTTAAACAAATCAGCAAGTTCATAGAAAAGAAGAGCCTGCCAGTTTATGTAAGTTGCTCTTTCTTTTTAATGTGTCTTCTCCGGCACTTTTGTTTCTACCAGCTTTTTAACAGAACAATCAGAAACTTTACTAACGATAAGCAGTATGCATTACAGTGAAAAAACGTTGTTTATTCACCTTTTATTGGTTATTTCAATTTAAAACCCATTTCTAAAGAATTTCGTCAGATTTTTGTTTTGGCAGTTATAAATTTTGAAAGCTGAAAAGCTAGCAAGATTTTTTCCGAAGGTTTGTTGACAGGTCAATTAAAAATGGAAATGCATAATATGAGATGAACCCCGTCAACCCTACATTATTTGTGGCTTTTTTATTTCTGTAAATGTGAGAGCGGGTGGAACACTGGTTAGTGTTCAAACGCGCATGCGAAACGGGCACTTATTGAGAACGCAAGCCCAAAATCTGTCATGTAATTTCTTTTATCGTGGCACATATAGCATTGAGCCCGGGCCAACCTGCTCCTATATTAGGCTCTCAAATTTGTGTAGAGACCTTTATCCTTTTGCTTGACTCATTTACACTTCTCAGCCTGTTTAAAACCTGGTCTCTGCGGTGTTATCATTTCACATTTGAAGCATTTGACGCTTATTTGTATTATCCCAGTCACCACATGGTCATTGGTACCCTTTGTCACTTTGTGTTTTTTCAATCACTTGGTCATTGATACCCTGTGTCGCTTTGTGTTTTTTCAATCACTTGGTAGCCTTTTGTCATTTTGTGTTTCAGGGAGAGCTTACGGCTGTAAACTTCCCTAAATACAGGGAATACAAGAAACCATTGCTAATTCAGTTCAAACAGAAGACTGAAGAAACCAATAAAGTTCCACTGGAGCGTCTTGCATTCAATACAAACAAAGTATTCGTTGTTTGGATGGATATGTACGTAATGCGGATGCTGACCGTCTTCATCGCCTTTCCATTGCTTTTGTTTTTGTTAAGTTTCTCGTTCTACTCAGATGAGTGCCCATTGAGTTCTAATGGAACTAACATCGAAAACACCAAACAGGACCATACATGAGAGGCTCAGCTAGGCTTTTGATTTCCAATGAATGGGTCCCACAGATATCAAATGCTACAAATGTCTTTAGTATCAAATGTCTTTATTTTAAAACGTCTAAGATCAGGCAATGCTTTGCAGTTTTCTGGATTATATGTTTATATTAAAAGTAAAACTGGCGACGTTAAAAATCAATCGACGTGTTTTATATTTTTTTGTGCCATTGATTCAACTGAATTTTCTGTAATTTATTCTCTAAGTTTTAAAGTTGCTATGAATCAAAAATATATTTTGAGATCCTAAAATTCCACATACTAAGAAACATGCCATTGAAGGGAGCACCCTGATGACATTCCTCTCTGTCCCTATGATGCATTAACACATGGCCGCTTTCAAACTCACCCCCCTGCGAATACCGTCCCAGAACGAGGTCACAGGATATTGGTCACTCTCTTCTTCGAATTGTCTTATCGTCATAAGTTCTAGATTTTTCTCGCCCATTCATTGAAAAATGCAATGCTATTCGTTAAAATCCCACCTGATACTTGTTTTTCTGGACTTCATCCAGTAGTTTTAGGTGCCACTTTGCATTGCCGAACACCCAAAGGCAGATGGTAATAAGATCTTTCCGACTCTCTTTTAGTAGGCTCTTTGTTATTTTATCTACTGGCACTTCTTTTTACTGCTTCACACAGTGTTTGAAAAAACCCAAGCTATCAAAGTCATTTTAATATTCCATACCATCTACATCGTATTCAAATATTTAGATATTTCATTGTCTCCATTGCTTTTTAGGAGTAAAATTGTCACAAAGGAAATCATGCGTGCATACATAAAGGATGCTTCGAAACCAGCCCTCGTTTTGGTGAATCACGAGAAGGTACCATGATACTTTTCTCGCCCTGTTTGCCTTTTCTCTTCTCATAAGCATCATTAATGGTTTCAAGCTCACAAGCTTGAGGTTAACGCTGAAAAGACAAAATTTTGTGCTTTTAGTCCCTTTAAAAACTTTTCTCATGATATATTCCTTACTTTTGATAAGCCATAAAAGCAATTTAACAGTAACACGTACCATTCTCGTATGGCGCAAAATTTCACTGACTTGGTCTACTTTCATTTATTTTGTTCATGACAGTAAGGGTTCAAGTTCATTGCCCATTATGTAAATATTCCACTTCAAAATTGCACGGCAATCAACAATCTTAGACTAGGTGACCTATTTGAATTAAAATAATTTGTTTCACAAATTTTGCTCGTATATATTTCTGTCACTTGCCTTGTTAAATCACTCTTTAATGAAAGAGCGACGGGAATTCGGGTGATTAACCGATCAAGCAGAACGCTTCCCATTCTGCCCCTGTCCCTGGCAGTATGCCTTCGACCACGAAATTTCTAGGGTAGCAGTATCTAGTTTAGAACTTTCAAGCATTATTGCAACCAACTCATTTACACTTGCTTTCAGTTTAAAAAGTCTGATGTATCTCGAATTTTTTCAGGGAAAAGTGTTCCATTTTGTAGACGATGTGACAAATGATACTCTTGTTACTTGGGTGAAAGCCTGTTTGAAGCAAGAGATCAAGCCAGTTTGTAAGTTGTTGTTATGACTGTAAAAAGAATTGGCTTTGTGTTTCCTTTGTCAGGGTCAACTTTTTTGTTGTTTATAGCATTGTAGCAGTGGATCTTTATCCGTTTCGAAATCTAACCACCATTATACACTATATGAAACGATATTGTGGTACAGATGGATTACCCCTTGGTCTAGTGACAAATATAAGCAATGACTTGTTATCCTGATACTGGAAGGAGTCTTTTAAAGTGATATGTTAAACTTTAAACCTCTATTTAGCACAAAGGGGCCCTATTGATTCTTGAGCTTCTAAAAGAGGATGACTTAATGTGGAGGTGGAAGTTATTTGAAAGTCAACATGCAAACTGATTTTCTTGCTTTTTTACTGTTGTATATTTTACCAAAACACTGCAGAAAAAGATATCAAATAAATTATAGGTAGGGAACGATATGAAATAAATCATAGGTAGGAAGCATTTTGAAAGCGGAGGGAAGCACATGTAGACAAGTAAGGGACACCTCCAATTGCTTAACCTTTGCTTCAGAAAGTAAGGGGGCACCTGCTCTCAGGCTAAAAATTCCTCAAATATCTGCATTTTACGCTGTTTCCCTTATCGTTTCCGACATGAAATCCTTTGGATTTTTAAATGGATTTCACTTGTATTAGTTGTTATTATTTTGAAAGTCTGTAGCTAATTCTGTGGAAACCTTTAAGAAAACTTTTGTAAGAGAACTTTTGTAAAAAAATCTTTATTTCAGCTGAATTTGTGGATAAGAAATGGAAACCGTTACGAAAACCATACGACTACCTAAAGATGCAAGCAGCAATATCTGATAAAAAAGCTGAAGAAGACTTGACGAAGGAACAGGACATACCCAGTGTTGATGTTGGTGGCGACGAGGCGGAAGTTGAAGTGAAAGATGAAGAGGCAGATGACGGTGCGGAGGAGCCTGGTGATGGTGCGGAGGAGCCTGGTGATGGTGCGGAGGAGCCCGATGATGCTGTGGAGGAGCCTGATAAAGATAGGGGCAAAAGTGGAACCGTTTCCGACCACGATGAACTTTAAGGGACATTGACGTAGAATCTAGGTTTAGCAAATCCAGTAAATTATTAAAGATGTTGTCACTAGTGGTTTTGTTCTTTAAGTGATCCTTGCTTTTTATTATTAATTTCTTACTCATCCATTTTTAAAATACAAATGAGTTTTGACCTATTCCCTCCACGATCTTTGCCATCTTCTGATTAGAAATATTCTTACAATTTACGGCAATTTTACGCAAGAAATTAGTAAAGATAAAACGTTCGGAACGTATCTATATCTATAAGAACTTACCTGTAACAAAAACAATTTTTTGTGAATTATTAGATTTGTTAAATTTGTACTAATTGCGATTTCTTTGTTGATACTGAGGCTACCTTCAATCGAAAGCGTGGCAATATTTATTCATTCATGGCAATATATATTTAAAACCACAGAATAGATGCTGGAATATGTAGAGCCTGATATATATTCGATTGTAACCTATTAACCGTTGGCTAATCGATCTCTTCACAATGAAAATATATCGAAATCTGTTAATTTGTTTGTCGACTAATGAAGTGTTCCTCTCTTAACATTACATAACGGCAATCAGGGGCGGATCTAGAAATTATTCTGAGGGGTTCTAAAACGTAAGGCTTGGTAACCCAGGGTGTTGCTATGCACAAACTCCGTACCCCTGCTAATAAGCCATAATGAAATGAAAGCCTTCCAAAAACTAAAAAGCCTGGATGCCTTGATTTATATAGTAATTTTTGGTTTCAGCTTTTATGCCAATTGAACGCAATTTGCAGCTCGCCCCTCTTATATTCACTTAGGGTACAAAAGTATAGAAACTGTAGTCAAATATGATATGATGGCCCGCAGTGGCAAAAGGCCCGAGCCCACAGATTTTCAAAGCAAAATTTAATTTTTGACTCTTTGCAGCCATTTATTAGAACTTGATCAGCTTGACCAAAATAATAACGTGGCTGGTGGAATGAAGCCCTTGATGTGCAGTGCAAAAGTTGAACACAGGGATTCAAACACAGCATGCATCGCCAAACCGAAGGCCCTGAACGTTTCGCTATGGGCCTGGCGTTTTGAGTATTTTTATGTATTTGAAATTCTTAGAGAAAAAAGGATTCGCAGGAATATAAGTAGGTATAAAAAGGAAACCCCTTTTGGTCAATAATAGTAAGGGCAAGTTTTTGAGATGTTTTTTATGTAGTTCTTGAATGATTAAAAAAAGAATAACAAGGGCTCGGGCAAGCTTTATCCTCTGAATATAAATCATACCTCATGGTCTATGAATAAGACGTGAAACACGGAGTTGAAACTTGAAACCGTTCTGTTATATAAACCACAGCGTTTACAAGTTCTGCCGTTACAGCATCGAGCATCAGGTAAAGATCGTCAAAAGATCCACGAAAACATATTGCAAATTTGCGCCTAAGCATTCGTCGCGTGCTGTATCATAATTCAACTCCCCCTGGTCAACCTCAACTCCCCCTGTTCAAGCTCAACTCCCCCTGGTCATAAAACCACTTATACATTTGACTGTAGATTGAAGCGAAGAAACTCCCCCTGGTTTGTCGGTATGCTTTGATGTTTTGGATTTTTGAAATCCATGGGTTCTCGCGCCAAGTTTAGAACCCCTCGACCTGGCACCGTGATTGGCTAGATTCACTTCCACGGGTGCAGAAACTCGTATAATTTACAGGCCACGGGTTCCTTAAGTGGCTGGATATAAGAGGAGACAATGCTTTCCGAGTCTGTAGAATGCTATACAGGACAACCAGGGGGAGTTTCATACACTTCAATGCATGGACTGAAATAACAATGTTGAACAGTTGTGAGACGGGGCATTGAAGCGGAAATAACAATTTCAGGAGATGTGCATACTTCCCGGTATTATTTAAATGGTTTAAATAATAATAAACAAAATTGCGGTAGAATAAGCTTTAATCCCCAAAAAGTTTTTTCTCAAATCTGAGGGGTGCTCGAGCCCCCTTCGCACCCCACTGGATCCGCCCCTGGCAATATAATATTCATGAAGACAGTGATTTGTTTCTTCTTGTCGCATCTATAAATTTGGTTAGAGAACCACTTCACATATCTAAGCGCCACGAAGATCTACGTAGGTGCGATTAGGCACAATGAGATTTCCAGATCTTGCACAACTCAGACTCTGCTGCTATCTTTGTAGAAAGATGCGATGCAGACATTTTTGTGAGTTTCCAGAGGCTGTCAAGGGCCATAGGAACGGGTCGAAAACTCATTTTCTTATGTGAAGATGCTGGAAAAAATACCTGTATTGATATGAAATTGCAATGACATTTCATTTGGCTGCATCATGAGAACTGTCCTTTTGTCATTGCCAAGACGTCTCAAGTTACTTCCACGAACGTACAGTTTAAGGTGGAGAGGCGCTAAAATAACAAACGCTAAAAACTGCATTCAAAGCTAAAATATAATGAAACCAGCTATTATTATATTTCTTCAAAAAAGATAAATTAAATAGATTTCTTTTAACTCAAAACACTGAAAAAAGCAAACATTTAAGTAAACTAAAGCTTTTCGCCTGACACTCTTTAGAGTTTAAAACGTCAGAACATAGATCGAAAACTCTACGCTAGGAAACATTTATACCCAGTTGTGGATCGAAATAGGCCAATCAGAAACGCATACACATGACTGTTGAGGTTGACCAATCAGAGCTGCTTGCCTGCTGAGATTGTTACCAATGGAGTCCTGAGTTGAAAACGAACTCCTTCTGACTACACAAAAGCGGTTTTTCGTGCTGATGTAGATAGATTCCACAACTGCTATGGATCGACGATCGGGCTTTACCAAAAATCCGAAACATGTCGCCATTATATTGTTTGCACAATCTGGTTTTCCCAGAAAATGCTGCCTGATAGCCGAATCGCATGTTTTGGTTTTAGTCCTACTTTTAGATCTGCAATGTTTGCTTTTTTCAAAGCCATTTTCAAGTTTTGTATCACCAAAAGATTGGTTGCATATTTCAAAACATTGACTTCATGTTTCTCAGGGGCGCCGGGGAAGGGGGCGCAGGGGGCCAGCTGCCCCTGTTGCCTTTTGATAGGATGGGCAAGGGGGGCCAGAATGCCTTTTTCATTTAAATGCCCTTAAAACCGGCCATTTCTTATAATCAGCTGGAGCGCTGGGTGGAAATGGTATTAATCCTACTCCTAAGTTAATTTTCCTTTTCCAAAATTTAAAATTTTTTTTTTTATTTATTTTACTCCAGATTGGTTGTAAAGCCTTTAGGAGTTAACTATTGAAGAGTTGAAGAGTGAAGATCAGACAGATTTATAGTAAATTCTGGTTGTAGTGCCTAATTCATGACGATTCCTACAGAAGATCGAAGTAAAATGGCAAATACGAAGGAATGAATAGAAGCTAAGAATGTTCTTTAGAATGCCCTTTTACTCAATCCTGCCCCCCCCCCCCTTGCCCCTTGTCGTTCTGGTGTCGCTGATGTTTCTAATGAGTAGGTGCTTTAGGTTTCTTTTTCGTTGCTTTTTGTTTATCCAAAACAAAGCAGCTGAAGTAGGGTCAAATTCTGATACGCTTGGCATGTTTTGAGACACATACAGATAACTGAACATCGTTTGCGGAGACAGGGAGGCACGGTCATTTGTTTTTATTTTGTGTATGTGCTGAACAAACGTTCAACGTCTGCAGAATGTGGCTTAGCTGCTACGGTCCTTGCGAGGGCTGTTCGAATTACCATGTTCTCATCTTGACTGACATGAAAAAGCCCATTCCACAATTTTGAATTTTCAAGACCACAATTTGGATTTCCAAGACCACAAAATGTGGGAAAAACCACACTAAAATAGGCTCAGATTCCCAAACAATTTTACGAGTTCAAAGGAAAGTGGCAGGGTTTGGGTGCGTTGTCCTTTGGCCGCCGCTTCATTTAATGGTACAGGTTTAACAACCCTCCTGTTTTATTGAGGTTCTCACTAAATTTTGCTCTCTCCCTTCAAATAAAGTTTTGTACTTTGATAACTTAACGCTGCTGCCTACTCATAGGCCTAGAACAATTGAGTCCCCCCATTTCAACCTTTAAATAGTATGAGTTTACACGGCAAAGAGTTTCTCTCAGGGGGGTAACGTAAAGACTTTGACCGTCGGATTTCCTGTGGATACAGACAATGAGGCGCAAACAAAGCGCAATCAGTTCAGTAGGCATCAAAATGGTGATCACACGGCGACATTTCAATGGGAACACAGTTTTTTGGCTCCTGTTTCTGGCTTCCAACGCTTCAGCACAAATAAACCTTTTCTTATCACCTGATCAAACGAAGGAGATCATCGGTAAGTTTATAATCTCGCAAAATATTGCCCATATCAAAGCGATCATGGTAAAACGACAAGACATATTGTGGCCTAACAGCCTAATCTACTGATCAAGACCACTTCAAATCAACGGCGTTTCAATCGTGATTACATTCACATATTTTTGCAGACTTGTAAGCTAGTGGAGATGAATTTATATGCCTAAAATTTAAATCGAAACTATCGTAAAATTATGATTATCTAGTTATTATGACCAACTGACCACCTACCATCATCTAAATTTTCTTTGATTTATAAAGGAATTCAAAACAACACATGACTACCACCCATTCTCTGCTTATTGCTCAAAGACCAGGATTCCGGCGTCGGATGCTTTTAGTGATTTGTAAAGAGATTTCTTCCCCTTCTCTTGCAATGTATTCAGAAAACAATTAGATATTATTTTCTTATTCATTCCCTTATATTGTAAAGTTTCCTCTGAAGAATGCAAATTGTAACAATTTTTTCGTTGATTTTATTTTCCCCGTGACCGAGTAACCATTGGTCAAAGGAAATCGTAGGCTAAATCATTTTTCAAACAGGAAATTTAAATTATGAATAAGAAATTTAACAGTTTTACACACTTCACAATATGTTAGACAATTTGAAAGGAATAAAAATACGCAAAGGAATATAATTACATTACATTGAAAATAATCAAAACTATGTTTAGCACAGTGATATTGTGCTACAGAGCTGAAGGGAATTAGATTCTGTTGCAAAAAGTAACAAATTACTTCTTATTGATGGATTCAAATTGACGTCATCAATTTTGTATCTCGCTATCTACGGATCTTTTTCGAAAATGGACTTCAAAATTGAAATATTCATCTTTAAATTAGTTTATACTGAAAAATTCATATTGTTTGGACCGTTTGGTCACATGTTACTTTGTTTCAAATATTTAGATATTTCTTTAGAGTTGACCGGAACTTGCTGCTGCAGTGAAAAAATTTCACTAATATTTATAATATATTTATATTTATAAAACATTTATTGTTTATTCATTTGTTCCCTTAGTGGCCGATCAATAGAATGCGACACTCTGTGTATCACGACCTTGGATCCCTCTGGAAATAGTGGGAGAGTGTAGTGCAAGCCCGGTCTGTGGTGCGATCAAATATCAAGTCCTTTAGATTAGAAGC